AACCCCAATGGTATGCAGAAAAATTGCAGGTAAACGATGGAAATGTAACCCGAACATACTGCGATGGATGTATACTACAATAGTGAGACCAATCATCACACGATGCTATAGCCTGGAGTTAAAGAACTAATTTAGCTATTACAAGAGCTAATATCTTAAAAGCACAAAGAATAGCCTGTGTTTGCATCAACAATGCAATGAAAACCTGTTCTACGGCCGCAATGGAGGTGATCTTAAACCTGACCCCTCCAAATTTAATGATAGAGAATGTGGCAGAAAGGACACGATAGAGAATGAACAGGAACGGAGTAATCAGATGAAAGTCTATTAGCTTCAGGACTAAAGATACCTGGGATATGCCCCAAGATGAAATGAGAAAGAAGTACAGTTTTGTGATAAACTTCAGAACCACAGAGCTGGGCTGCAAGAAAGAATGGATCCAAGAACCCATCGTTCTTACAACCGAAAGATATGCTATTCAGTGGTATACGGATGGTTCCAAAACCATAAAAGGAACTGGAATAGAAGTGTATGGGCCTAGAACCAGGCACTCTGAAAGTTTAGGAAAATACCCAAGCATCTTCCAGGCGAAAATTCATTGAGAGGTGTATCCAGTTTAACATCGAAAGAAACTATCGTAGACAAGAGATTATCATCATTTCAGATAGCCAAGCAGCCATCAAAACTCTGAGCGCTTATGTATGAACTAGGCGAGGAAAATAGAGTTACTCTTACTTGGGTCTCGGGACATAACGGTACAGAGTAACGAGATTGCAGATAATATCGCAAGAAAAGGGGCTCAAACACACTTTGTGGGACCTGAGCCGTTCTGCGGTATCAGCAGTAACACAATATTAGGAGAGATTAAAAAAGAATTGTGCAGTAGAAGAACCGGTAATTGGAATAATTTCTTGGAACTAAGACAGGCTAAGATACTTCTGGTTGAATATAACCAGAAAAGATCGGAAGCCTGTATGTGCCTGAGCAAGAACAGGCTACGCATTGTAACAGAGAACCTTACTGGGCATTGCCAACTTCTGTAGTATTCCAGAAAATTAAGGACACTGTACTTAGGAGCATATCAAATAGAAGAGGAAGATTTAACTAACTTGAAGCCACTCCAAATCCTACACTTTCTTGAGAAGATAGGATTAGACGCGTCGTTATAGGCATTAAGACATTTCCTTGCTACATTAGTGACAGAAGCGGACACAATAGATCTTTTAGGTCGTAGTGTTTTAACACTCCATTCCCAACATAACATAACGTTTGTAATTAAAACTGATATCAACTGACAAACCCTTTATTTATCATCTAGTTAAAAGTAAGTCATCAGGCAAATTATTGACGTATTCGTTTTTAGAAAATAACAAAATGTCAGGAAGGAACCATCACAGACCTGAAATTAAAAATGGTTGCCACTGATGTTTTTTTTAGACAGAACGTTACAAAATACGAAACAGTATTTTAACGGTTAATCAATTGAAAAAAAAATAATGATGGCCCTGAGATACGAAACGTCCTGTCAAAAATTTAATATATCATAATTTTTTTATTTTTCATTTTTTATATTCTCGTTTTAAATCAAGTTTCTTTGTCCAAAAAAAATATTGGTGCATTTTAGGCGTATTTATGAAAAGTTAACTCAATGAAGACAGTATTATTATTAAGTGATTACAATGGTAGTGTGTTCAGGATATGGCCATAAATTCAGAAGAATATTATGTTATGTTGGGAATGAGGTGTTAATACACTGCGACCTAAAAGATCTACTGTGCCTCCTTCTGTCGCCAATACACCAAGGAAATGTCTCAATGCCTATATCGACCCTTCCAATCCTATTTTCTCAAAGAAGTGGTAGAACATAAGTACTTATATAGGTTAGAATAAATAAAAAGTGGGCTAAGTTAGAGGAATACTACCTATCGGATCATCTAAATTGCTTTGGTATATTTTGATACATTTTACATATATCTTAGAAGTGCCTTTCCAAAGTAGCCTGCCCGTAAAGTAAGTTACAAGCCGCCACTGATAAAATAATTCAGACATCAATAATAGAGAGCTCCGTCATTTTGAACACTTATTACGTGTTGCCTACATCTTGGCGCAATACTTTTAGTGGTTATGTTATAATATTTACCCAAAGTCAGTCCCCAAAGATATTATTTACGAACCTACACTTTACAAAACCATTAACAAATAATGAATATCTTGAAAACCTTGCTTTACTTGGTGATTTTATGTTAAATCTTTCCATTTGTAAGTAACAGTAACTACTTTATGTTCCTATTGTTATATTCTAAATGCTTTTTATTTTTTAGGTCTCCTAGGAATTTCGAGCATTTAACTTGAACAGTGTTTACAAACCATTAATCAAATTGTTTAGAAATTATTTTTAATTAAACTCTGTTGTCTGTTCTCAGCATTTTCAGGAAAATGCTTATTGCTCTTATGTAAAAAGGTATATGATCAATCATGAAACAATTCTTTGTAGAAGGCAAATACCAAGAAAATTGAAGCATTTACTTCAATAGATAGGAGCAGTATTAAAATCAAACAAAATAATATAAATAAACATTTATATTATAATAATTATTTTTATTTATTTCAGGTTTACTACACTGGCTCATCTACACATCTGAAAGCAAAGGTAGCCCACAGCTCCCTAAGAAAATAGCCCCCTCTGCTAAATAGTTTATATGGAACAGTTAGAAAATGACCTGTAATATATTTTTTTTATTTGGTACAGTAAACTGTGTAACAATTTCGGATAAATGGAAATTTCTGAGAAGCAAAAGTAGCACTGATCCAGGTACATTGATTTTGTACGTTAGACATACACAGGAATCATAAAAGTAACAAAAACGTCTTTTAGAGCCACCATAATGTCGACATCCTTTTTTACAATATTAAGTCGACGGACTAAGAAAAGCATAGCTAGATCATCGATTGCTATAGAAGCAGAAAGTAGGGAGATATGCAAGTTTTCAAAATGTACACTGGCAATCTAATGTTAATACAATTAACAAACTTGTGTAATCTTTGAAAACGAGAATACTGGTGGAGGTGGTGGCAGTAATACCATAGGGGTATTTTCTTGAATAAAAAATATTCATCAATTTCCTACTATGTAACAACTGAAAGAAGACTTATTTGTAGATGAACAATACATCTGTTTTAACAACTACATATAACTAATTAAAAAAATAACTGTTATACAAATTCAACGTGTCTGTCTTAGATAAATTATAAGATAAAAATCAACTATCTTTTACAGCTTGCCTGCAAGAGTATATTCCTCTGGTAATATCTTTTAGTTAGAGCTTCTTTAATCTCACATTTCCTTGTTTTTATTTTATAGTTTCGTACAGCTGAAAAAATGCAAAATATAATATTAGATTGTTTAGCCTCAAAGATTTTTATTCATTACAAAAATAAAATGTTCATGGGCATGGGACTGGCGAAAAATATCATAATATTAAGGTAAAATCATATGCACAGCTTTAGAAATAATTTAAAACCACTCACCTCTATTTCAAGATGCACTTGCAATTATAACTTTACTTCAAAATAGTTTCTTGTATATTATTTAAAATAAATAAATGTTTCTTCTACATTTGTTGCCTTCATTTAAAATTTCAAAATATCAAGATGTAGGCTACCAGTTTAACATTTTGGAAAAATGTGTTGCCTAACCTAGTAGTAATTGCATCAAAATGGCCGCGACTATGCCGCGCCCTATGTTGGGCGTGTCGGACATCTCTCTTGCACTGTATAGTAATCAAAGTATGTGGAGATATTGCAAATTTCTATGCCGTCAGCCACTAATAGTGACAATTATACTGTCACTATTAGTGGCTGACGTTATAAAAATTTGCAATAATATCTTAAAGTAGACTCAATTAGCGAGTGATATAGCATTATTAAGTTTTTTCTTGGCACTATATCCCTCAAAATGTAAAATCTGTGCATAAGAGCTCTTAAACAATTGTACTTTAGTACATTTTGATTCGTGCAACTTATTAAGGTGATAATTAGGTGGTGGTGGTTGTGTAGTAATTGTAGGAATGCAAGCCATACATTTAGTTTTCTTTTACGTTTAGAGTAAGTAGATTGTGATCTAACTATATTTAAATTTTGTGTCACTTTCTGCCGCAATTTTTAAGGCATCTCAGTTTGTACCAGAAAGCAACATTGCTGTATTATTAGCATAACATATAAAACTGGAAGTGAGATTTTGTATATTAACTATGCTATTTATGTAAATTAGAAATAGTAGTGGACCTAACACTGTTCCCTGTGTTACTCCTGTTTTTATTTGTAATTTTGAATTTAATTCATTTTTTTATTTTTACTATTTGTATTCTATTTTCAAGATAATTTATAAGTACTTTTCTAACTTTTCAATAAGGAAAATCGCAAGGCATTTTGATGATTCGTCTAGAGTTTTTACTGTCGGGGTATAGGGTCTAGGTTATGCTATTCTGCTCTTCTTCTTTAGCAATTTTACCGTTGCTTGTGGGAAACAGTTAAAAAGTCACCAACGGCCCATCGAATAATTACTGTTAAAAGGCATAACAAATTTCAAACAGGCCATAATAATTTTATAGTTGCATGTGGTAAACATTTAAAAAGCTATCAACGGCTCATCAAAAAATTAAAGTTAATTATAAATTTCCGAAGTGCCATAACGATTTTGTCGTTAAAAGTTGCCATGACATTGGTTAAAGGACCAACAACTACCCATAATTTCAATGTTTGTTTAGTAGGCATATGCTTTTTAGTTATTTAATTTTTTATTGTAGCTGTTTAATTTATTAGCTGTAACGATTAATTCTTGTCATTACGTTTCACCCACAAACAGGCCTGTCTTACTATGGTCCTTTGTTTACTTCTTTTATTGGTGTTATCCATCTTGCTTACCTGTATTATTTGTGCCACACTATACATTGGGTAAAAAAAAGAACTGTTTAACTCTTAACACGGTTATTCCAATACGAAACGTCTTCGTGGAATTTACTTTGATCCCGCGTTGCTCGATTTCTTTCTGCACGTAGATCCATTAATATTAACGACTTTGCTAATTGATTATATATTTAAAACGCATTAGACTCACTCCTAAATGAAACACTTTCTTCGAACAATATTGTGTTGAAGCTATAGGTACTTACAATAATAATTATAATTAACGGTATTATTTATCTGATATGAATTGTTTTCAAGTTTGTGTTTGTTTTGTAGTTTGCTTTGAAATCCAGTTGACATCTTCTGAAGGTAAGTGCTACCTAGAAATGCTAATTTAATGTTTAGTTAAGTCAACATTAAATAAATTCTTAGTTTATTCTAAATTACCAAAACTTGTAGAAACAATATTGATTTCATAGTCCAGGTTTTGATCAATTCTATAAATACATTTCATTTTTACTTTCCTGTAACCAGTCAGGGAAAGTATAAGAATCATGATTTTTTTAGGCTTCGAGTTTTCGACGGATATTTATGTTTTGAAGTCCCCTAAATCCATTTTTGACCAATTTCACGATAACTCAAAAACACCAAATTTTAAACAAGGGAAGTATTTACTTGACTTTAGAGCAGAGCATGCAAGGGTTTCGTAGTACCCCACTTTTTAAAGTTTATTTTTGACTTATTCTGAAAGAAAAAAATATATTCGTGTAGGTAAAGGTTAAATCTATGCTTCTCTGGAAATACTTTTTTAAATTTAAAACTGTTTTTTCTAAAAAAAATATACAATACCCGATTTTTTTACCCATTTTCTCAATTTTTTTTTGAAAAAAAACTAAATTGTGTTTTGAAAAAGTGGTTCCAGAGGAGCATCGATTTAACCTGTACCTACACGTACATATTTTTTTCTTTTAAAAATAATCAAAAATAAACTTTCAAAGTGGGGGGTACTACAAAACCCTTACATTGCATCTGGAAAGTGGCGCCTCTGTTAGATTTTTAAGAAATTAATATTTGTGAATGAAAGCTATTTATGATATATTTTACTGATGTTTTACGAGGGATAAATAAATGTTACGTATTTGTTTTACGTAAATCATTTCTGTATTACTAAGATCGCCATATCCACATATGCCGCCAATTTACGTGGACAGTTGGTGGCATAGGAAAGCTTTTTTATTACTAATTTTAGGAAAAAAAAGTTGTTCTTTATAAAAAGTCGAGCATGATTAAAACCTTAAAATACAACCATCAAATATCAAATTTTATCAGTCGTATAAAGAATAAAGGTACTTTACTCTTGAGTAAAACTCATATTTTTTGACAAACCTCGTAGACCACTGAAAAAATTTGATATTTAATGACTGTATTCTAAGAATAACTTTTTTTTCCTAAAATTAGTATATAATATCATCGTAATTTCATCGTACACACCAATTTTACGGATTATTTTTTATTTTTACTATAAGAAAATTTATGTAAGTACAGGTAAAGGCTGAACCCGTACCTCTCTGGAGTCACTTTAAAAATTTGAATCAGTATCTTTAGAAAAAAATCTAAGAAAAGAAATAGAAATATTAAAAAATGCTAGAAGGGAACAGTATATTTAATTTTTGCCTATAGGAGCATTTATTTTTCTTACAATAAAAATAGAAATACGTTAAAAGCTTTTTCGTCTAGAGGGGACATCAACAAAATATATATCTTTTTCTGCTATTTAATGATAAACATGGCATGGACCATAAATTCAGAGCAAAATAAGATTTGGAAATTTATTTGCAAGAAAAAGTTTTTAAATGTGGACATTTTCTTGAATCCGAATTTGATTATGTTGCTGCCAGTCTGGAAGGAATTAAAAACAAAACAAAACTCTATGATAGAGTTAAAATGTCCATATGAAGCTAGAGTGCTGACTGTAGAAGAAGAAATATGCAGTAAAGAAATAACTTTTTTGGAAAAAGGGTAATACCATTAAGGAGAACCACTATTGGTATTTTCAAATTCAGGGCTAGCTGCACATAACAAAAATGGATTTTTTGCATTTTGTGCTTTTGGATTTCTGAAGGAATAAAAGTGGAGAACATTCCTCATAATGACAGCTTTTGTGAAGAAAAGATACAAAATAAAATTCAAAATTTTTATATTCAATATGCCTTGCCGGAACTTTTTGACAGCGGAGCTAATAGAGACATGGAAGTAGGAGTCAGGAATACTAAATAATTCGCGAGAAATTTTGTTTAATTTTTATTAACATAGCGCAAGGAATCATAAATTATTTTGAATATGTTTATTAATTTAAGAATTACATTTTATTTATTTCTAAAACATGGTAGTAGGCGTTCCATTTAAGATATGATTATTTTATTTAAGTCTTATTATTATAATAAGCTTTTTTAAATTAAAGATTTACCAGTGGCAGTGGCTATTGATGATATATAATTGTTATTATACCAAATATTTTAAAAGGCTACACCAACTAGTGGACCATGTTTTTAAGTCCCCAAATAATAATAATAATAATAAATAATAATAATAATAATAATAATAATATTAATAATATTAATAATAATAATAATATTAATAATAATAATAATAATAATAATATAATAATAATAATAATAATATTAATAATAATAATAATAATAATAATAATAATAATATTAATAATAATAATAATAATAATAATAATAATAATAATAATAATAATAATAATAATAATAATAATAATAATAATAATAATAATAATAATAATAATAATAATAATAATAATAATAATAATAATAATAATAATAATAATAATATTAATAATAAT